TTTGGAAGACTGTCTAAAATAGCGAGCTCAAATTAACTTTAATCCTACCCCGTTTTTTTCTTTTCTTATCCATCTCTTTACTCATATTAATATTCCTTCTTTCTTTTAAACTCTCACTCACTGTTTGAAACACAGCATCCCAACAGTTCTAGCTAAATCAAATAAAGAAAACTGTAACTGACTTAATTCCTGAAGCAGTACTGGAAAGTAAAATGCATGTGATAGTGCTGCTGATTGGGCTTTAAAATAAAAGTCGTGTCATCTAATGACAGGAAAACATGATCAAAATGCAAGTCTAAAGGGTCGTGAAGAAGATCCATGCTTTGCGCGTAGGGAGATACTTGTTGGGGTCTGTTAAGCTGAGACAAAGGGATGATTGAGGACACGCCCAGCCGTCTAAAGGCTGCCAGTTGGAGTGTGGAGGCACTAAGGGGAAAGATGGTACCAATGTTTGGATGTGTTTTTCATTCAAAACTGGGCTAAGAGATATTTGCTTGCATTTGACAATGAAAGCATTATTTTTAGGTAAAACTTCACTGCCAGGGATGAGTCAGCTCTAGTACTTGAATAGAACAGCATTCGTCAAGGATTGGGCTTCATTTTAGGTGAGCTTTCTGTGGTCCTTTTTGGTTAAACTTGAATAGTTGTTGTGATATTAGGGTTTTAAAGTATTATCACCCCAAAACATCTGATTTGGTTTTAGTTAGTTCAGAGAGCTGTACTGTGGGTTTTGGCACATTATAAAGGACTTTTGTAGAGAGAATGAGGTACATGCCAAGAAGTAGAAGAGCTAAAATCTAAAGGTACAAGAGTTTTAGAAATCAGGGAATATGGCAATAAAACCTTATATTTCTCTTTGTATTTTATGGCTTTGATACATTCTTTCTATATACAGGCATCACTAAGGGAGGATTTGGCAAGCATGCACCTGGTCAAAAGTAAGAGTTTGAACGATTTCCAAGAGAATACTAAGAGGACCACTCTGCTTCTGAGATGTTTTGAAAACTACTTAGGTCTCTTTTTCTTTCTTCAAGAATGATAAAGACTAATTAGATATTAGAGTAACAGCTAGATTGGCCACCATTGAGTGATCTGATTGAATCATCTTATTTCCTTCATGGTTTTCTCCTTTTCTTGTTAATGGATGGCCAAACAGGTATTTGCCTTCCTTCTCCTCCTACTTACCTTATTGTCATAAGTTTTTCAAACTGCTAATCTCTCCTGGTCTCCTTTCTGAGAAGGTTCAGACTTTCAAAAGATTTACATTTAGGAATCGTATGCACCGTGTTTCCTGTCTTCCAGTCTGCCTGCCAACATTCAGGATTGTGTGTGTTTGCAGGTGTGTGCCCATCCTTCCAGTCATGTGGATTTCTGGTTGTAGTCCTTACTTTGAAGGCCCAGAGAGAACCTCATTTATTTTGAGCTTCCCAGCATAGTTTGTACAAGATAACCACTTCCTTTGGTTGGTTGAGCAATCCCAGTAAGTCTATTTCAGGGCAAACTTTCCAAGAGGCCTCTTTCTCAGAAAGGCTATACCCAGCAACTCTCTTGCCCTTTTTTTCAGGAGTGATTACTTAATTGGATTGCATGCTAGATGCTGCGAGGAATCCAGAAATGAATCGTACTCAGGCCCTAGCCACAAGGAGCTTATAAACCAGAAAGGGAAATATGATAAGACATACACGTAAATAATGATCATACAAGGTAACATGATGAGGGCAGAAAGAGATACAGATCAGGGACTCTAGGTTCACAAGAAGGAGTCATCGCTTCCAGATGGGGGTATTTAGAGAAGACTTGTGGAGAGATGGCAGTTGAGTTTAACATTGGAGCAATGGCCTTTTCATGATGGACTTCGATTCTTCCCTTTCTAGCTTTGGAAAGTAAACTGTTTTAAAAACCAAATAAATCATGGTAATAGATATTGGGAGTTGAGATTCCTTCTAGCAACAACCATGCAATATTTCACCTGATCCTTAAGTCAGGGAGTCTTATTCAAGGATTTATAAAGTAATTAATGAACATGAATATTAAATCTAACATCAATAATGAATTAAATCTGGGCAATTCTATCTTGCATTTTTCATAAGAGTGATTTAAGCAAATGTAGCTTGGCCTTAAGGCAGTTTTGTCCCTGTCAACTAACTGTATATAAATAGCTTTACCCCATGATAGAGGTAGCAATTTAAAATGGAATGAAGAGAATCGTGGAAATAAGTCTCTTTCTTACTATTAATTACATGCCTTCTCTTGCCCTGGCTGGTGTGGCTCAAATGGATTGAGGACTGGCCTGTGAACCACAAGGGTGCCAGTTTGATTCCTAGTCAGGGCACGTGCCTGGGTTGCAGGCCAGGTCCCTGGTGTGGGAGAGGCATCCACACATTGATGTTTCTCTCCTCTTTCTCCCTCCCTTCCCCTCTGTCTAAAAATATATATACTTAACATACATACTTTCTCTCATCATCCTAGAAGATGAACCTAGCATATTTTCCATGGGCTGTAGATGTTATAAATAGGCTACTTCTGTAGCAAAATCAATTTTGCTACAATTAATATATTAATTATTAAAATAAGTGATGAGATTAAGGCTGCTTTATATTTTTTAGCTTTGGGTGTTTGGTGAGCAAAAGCTGTTTGTGTTTATGATTGTAATGTTACATTGTGCTTTTGGTCAGGAAATGTTGAGGACATCAGTTTGTTTTCCTGAAATCTTTGACTTGAGGTTTGGTCTGATTTTTAAAGCCTCATCTAAAGACTGGATCTCCTTTAAGGAAAGCCCTTTGAATCAAAGTACTCGTTAATAGTCATAATTTGTGTCCTTCCGGTAGGTATTAAAAGAATTAGCTACTAATCATCTCTGTGCAACGATGCTTGAAAACATGCTCCAAACCTTTTTTATCTCTTTCCTCGTGACAGGATCTTCTGTCCCCGATGAGAGTATCTTTGAAGTCAGGAATTTATAAAAAGAGGTTTCTGGATGGAAAGATCATAAAAGCTATAACTCTAAATCCAAAGCTCAAATGTAACTTTGTTTGCAAATTTAACCTAATGTAAAGAACCGTCAGAACTTTCCGAAGAGGGAACAGAATGCCTTACCTACCAGTAGGCCAATTTCCCAGAACTGGAGAGGGAGGATCTCAGACGTTTGCTGAGTGACCAGTGGGGGGGCGGGGGGGGGCTTGTGAGGGGCTGGGCAGAGGCCGAAGTAGAGCCTTGAGCAGAGGGGTGGGCCTGGGTGGCTCCTAATGACTTTTTTTTCAGTCCTAAACGTCTGTGAGGCAGTAAAACATAAGGACATTTTTACTTACGTACTTTTTTTGTATTATCCATTTGTGATTATCTAATACAGATAGGACTCTCAGGTTAAAAAACTTAATCTTTAATTAATTTTTGAGTTTCCAGAAATACTTAACTTTGGTTGTGTACCTACCCGTGGCCATGCCCACATTCCAACGGTGTGTGCCCTGAGCCGGCCAACGTCCATTGGGGGTCTCCTCACAGCGACTGCCCCTGTGTTTGGGGACTGATTGCGCCAAGATGTCCTCAGCTGGGGCAGTGTGAAATTTAATAGTAGACTGTTCACAGATGGTTTTAAGTGTTTTTTGAATTGTGCACTTTTGTAATGGTTGTGAGAAGAGATCACAGGACAACCAGAAGTTGTTAACGATTTTATAAATCTAACGGATGTTTACACTCAAATAAACCCACTCATTATTAGCAAGTATCTAAGGTATCACACTGGTCATGTGTGTATTCCTCCTTTGACTGTAGCAGTTTGCCTGGCAGACTTTACTAAGATCAGGCCTGTCCACAGATCTGTACAATGAAAGACTTGAAGTTTTTTAATAATTATTTTCATTTGTAGAAAGATTTTTTATTTGCCCCATTTTATAAAAGATTAGCTTCTCTCTTCATTGTCATGACTACCTTGTAAGACTCTACTAATAAAATAAATAAGCTTCTCTAGGTTTCTTCTCAGTGCATCGGAGAGAGTAGTGCGCAGGCTGCGTGCATACGGTGATAAGTGAAAATGTGATGGGAGCTGGGTGGGGAGGGCCTAGTTAGTTATTTAGGACTCAGGATTTTATCTAGTCATCTCCAAATGTGATTCAACGCTTCACTTTAATTCCCTCCAGAAACTCTAAGATCATATTACTTCCTAGTACTTGGAGTTCCCGTTGATGTATAGAGCTTCTTGTAGGCCTCCAGCACTAGAAATTGGCTCCAAACCTTTTCCCATTACATCATCACCCACTTATGTCATTACACCAGAGTGAAATCTGCTTTGAAGATTGTACTCTTGTTTTCCTTCCATTGCTTTTCATTTCATCATTTCCTTAAGAAGGAAAAAGAAGAGAAAAAAAAGCAGAGACCTCTAGGACAATCCCAGGCAAACATTTAAGAGTGAATCAAACATCCTCACAGTTTAGACTTAGATTTATCAGCCTTTATACTGGTGTGTATCCTCATGGAGCCTGGAAAGTAACATGTTTGGCCGTGTGACACCTGCTTTGGTGCCTCTCTTTCAGCTCTTCAGAAGTAGTTCTTAATGACTTACATAGCTCTCCACCAGCATCCTGTTAGTGGCATTGTTAAACCTTTTCAGATAATTTCTCAGAATAGAAATTCTTAGGACATCACTAAGTGTCTAGTTCTTTGTTTTTGATTAAATTGTTTCTTGCATTTAACTAGTTGCCAGATAAGCTTTTAAGCCATCTGGAGTTTTTTACTTTTCTCCCCTGTAAGTCTTTTATGACATTATAATATTATCTACAGTTGTAACTGATGTAGGGATCCTGACTGATCTTTCTCCCCCATCACAAAGCAGTTAACCGAACACAGGTTCTGACTCTCTTCTTTCTATCCTACATTTAATTTCCCATTGTTGAAAAGTTGAATGAAGTAGTGAAAACATCTACAGGGAAAGCTATAAATGCCTGGGCGGAAAGCCTGACTTGATTGTTATGTCTAATGCGCCTCGTGCATGTGCTTGTTTCCAGTGGTCAGCATGTCCACAGAAGGCGGATTCGGCGGCACCAGCAGCAGCGATGCCCAGCAGAGCCTGCAGTCCTTCTGGCCTCGCGTCATGGAGGAAATCCGGAACTTAACAGTGGTAAGAAAGAACGAGAAACTTTTAAAGGGTGTAAAGAGCTGTGAGATGGGCGACCAAAACTTAGACTAAAACATGTTTAATCTCAAGCACATTTACGAAGGCATAATTCATTCCTGACCTTTGGGTAGGGAACTGAACAAAATATACTTGACCTTAGGTGAGGTGACTCGGTACGAGGGTTTTTTTTTTTCACATCTCAGTGACTTTCCTTAGGCATGTGGGTTCATACTGGGTGCTTTGACTTGGAGGTAGTTTGATGTGAGACTTACCTTTTAAAGAATGCGGAGAAGCAGAGCTCTAGCTTTTCTTCAGTAGCTTCAGCTCATTTCTTAGGCCCAGTTTAGAGGCCCCATCAATTTCTAGGGCCTGGTGAAAACTGTTGGGCAATTTTTTTGACAACAGATCTGTTCTGAGCAGTCACTCTTTCCAGGTTTTAAAAGATACACCTACGTCCCTGGCTGGTGTAGCTCAGTGGATTGAGTGTGGGCTGCGAACCAAAGTGTCGCAGGTTCGATTCCCAGCCAGGGTACATGCCTGGGTTGCAGGCCATAACCCCCAGCAACCGCACATTGATGTTTCTCTCTCTCTCTCTCTCTCTCTCTCTCTTTCTCTCTATCTCCCTCCCTTCCCTCTCTAAAAGTAAATAAGTAAAATCTTAAAAAAAAAAAGATATACCTACGTTAGGGTTTCTCAGCAGCAGCATTATTGATATTTTAGGCCAGAATAATTCTTTGTTGTGGGGGCGGTCCTGTGCATTGTAGGATGTTCAGCAGCATCCTTGGCCTCTACTCACTAGATCCCTACCTCCTGACAGGTGTGACGACCAAAAACATCTCCAGATGTTGGTAGATGTCTCTTGGGAGCTAAAATCATCCCCTGTTGAAAACCACTGACTTAAAAGGATCAAATATAACCCTGATTTTGAGGCTCTTACAATCTATCAAATCATTGATAGATAGGTAGTAATCATTGACTACAATCATTTTTTCAATAAGTATCTATTAAATACTTACCGAGTCAGGCACAGTGATGAGTCTGAAGCAGTGAAAGTGCTGTGGGAGCACGGGGGACATCAGGCTTGTTTCTCCCTGGTCGAGTTAGGGAAGCTTTAATTAAAGGGGACATTTTATTGGGTCCTGTTACATTAGTACGCATTCACCAGATGGAGAGGATGGGAGAGTATATTTTCAGCAGAGAGAACCATCATCTGTAAAGGCATGGGGGCCCAGAGGGGAGTGCCTTCTGTGTAGAGGACCAGTCAGAAGTTCAGAGTGGCCGGAGGTGACTGGGGGTAGTAGGGTGTGGGGTAGGATTAAGGATATAACAGTGGTAGCAGGAGGTGAGACAGGCCAGAGTTAGAATCTTTTCAGAGTACGGCGTCATGTCCTTAACAAAGAGAGAATGTTCCATTTGGTGTCATTTCAGCAAATTCTGAAGGAGCTCTCTGGTTAGATGTGTCATTCTCACTCTGGAGATGTTAGCATCCTGGCAGAGCAGACACTGGGTCCCTTCCTAATGTAGAACTGATGTTATAAATTTCTTAGAATTATTGGCTTTTAACCTCTGACATACAAGGTCAGTTTATTTGCTCACTTAGCAATACTTATTATGCACCTACTATGGCTACGCTTCTGTGTATAGTTTCTGTGGATCCAGTAGTGAGCCAGCCAGACAGGATCACTGCACTCACAGAACATAAATTCTGGTGGGGGAGACAGACTGTAAACAAGTAATGAATGCATAAAATAAAATAAAATCTCATTGTGATTAATGTCCACTGACTTCAAGGATAAAAAACTAATTCATATTTTGGATATACCTGTAGGTCATGTTCTTTTATACGGGAGATTTTCAGAAGTTGAACTTGGTTTGGCCTTTCTCAGAGTGGCCTGTTTACATGTAGATTCCCAACGAAAAGTCATTGTCTCTCTTCCTCAGTCTGAAGGTGGTGGTTTATCCGTACTGTCACTGTCTCAGATATAAAAGAGGGGAGGAAAAAATGAAATGATCAAATCATTAGTGGAGTCTTTTATCCATATTTTAAGGGGATAATCTCCTGGGTAAGCTGATCAAGTTTCAGTGCTGGGGTCAGCCTGGTGTATGGTGTAAACCTGGCGCCCTCCCAGGGTTGGGGTCAGGCCAGTACAGCAGGTCCGTATTCCAGCTGAGCATAGGCACAAATCCAGACTCAGGTAAGTGGCCTGAGAAACTTGGGAGGTCCAAGCCCAGCACTTAACTTTTTTATATTTTGTTGGGCTTTGATTTTTTTTTAATTGTGGTAAAAACACACAAAATTTACCATTTAAAAAAGTACAATTCAGTAGTGTTAAATATATTTACATTGCTGTGGACCGTGTCTCCAGGACTTTTTCATCTTGTAGAACTGAAACTCTGTACCCATTAAACAACAACTGTCCTTTCCTCCTCTTCCCAGCCCCGGGTAACCCCTGTTCCTCTTTCTGTTTCTACGACTTTTACCCGTCTTCAGTACCTCATATATGTGGAATCGTACGGTATTTGTCTCTTTATGACTGGCTTATTTCACTATTTCACTTAGCATAATGTTCTCAAGGTTCATCCATGTTCTAGCATGTGACTGGATTTCTCTCCTTCTTTAGTCTGAATAATACTCCATGTATACATGTGTGTGCTGCATTTTATTTGTCCATTCATCTACCTCTCCCTGTGGCACATGAAAGCATCTGCTTCTCTGTCTGCACCTCCGTTGCGTAACGTTGCCAGATATTTCAGTCTTTGGTCTGCGCCTTTCCAGAGCTCAATAGCACTTAGAACCAGACTTCCTCAGATATGTCAGAGCCTCTTAGGTTGACATCATGTGTCTAACCGATTTTTTAAAAAATCCCTATGTTTAAACTATCCAAACATGAATAAAACTTATAAGAATATTCATAAGGTGTTGTGGTCTCTAAGACTGGGACAAAGATTGTTCTAAAAACAAGTAATTGAAGTTGGCTAGGTGATACATGTTACATGATGTATTGGAAATACTGGACCTAGTCATTTTGGTCTGAGTTCTGCAAAAGCAATTTATCTTTCATCTCAGCGTGGCCATCACGCTCTCTTCACTCGGCAATTGTGCATAAATCCAGGTGGTGTTCAGCTGGAATTGAAGTTAGTTAAAATCATACAAAAGTGATTGTGCACTAGGGTGTTTGCGTAAAGTTCTGTCTTCCTGCTCAGCAGAGCTCTGAAAACAGTAATTGACAGGCTTTTTGGTGTTGAATTTTATCCCTCTAGACCTTTGAAAGTGGGCAAGAAAAAGCTAAGTTTGTTTTTTAGGGGTGGGTAGGGTGGGAGGCATTTCTTTTTGAATCTTAAAAAGAAAAATCTAATCTTCCCCTTATTCCCTGCATCCCATTCAGCTTTTTGTTAGCTGTAATATAACTCCTAGGTCACTTTCTTTTATTTTCCAGTTACATCTTCTCATCTTCAGTGCCTCCAGATTGGACAACGGCATTTCTAGTATTACAGTCAGATAACCATTTAAAGGTTTTATTTATTAATTTTAGAGAGAAGGGGAGGAAGGGAGAAAGAGAGGGAGAGAAACATTGGTGTGCGCCTCTTGCACTCCCTCAGCTGGGGACCTGGCCCGCAACCCAGGCATGTGCCCTATTGCGATTCGAACCAGCAACTGTTCAGTTTGCAGGCGGGAATTCAATCCACTGAGCCACATCAGCCAGGGTGCGGTCAGATAACCATTTAAACAGGAACTTGGTGGTGAAGGTCCATGGATTGTTACAAAACAGGTCCTGTGTTTGAGCTCTTCCTGTAGAGCAGTGCTTCTCAAACTTCATTGTCTAATGAACCACGTGAGAATCTTGTTAAAAATACAGATTTTGATTGAGGAGGTTTGGAACAGAGCTTGAGATTCTGCATTTCTTCGGAGTTCCCAGGTGAAGCCATTGCTGGTCCAAGGACCCCACTTTGAGTAGCAAGGCCTTAAAAAGCAGCAGTAGCCTTTAACCCTCATAGTCACCAGGGGAGTTTTCAAAAAATGTGATGCCAGGAATTCCTGGTTCAGTTAGTCTGTGGTAGAGCCAGGCATCTTGTTTCCCCAATGTTCCTGGTGATTCTGACATGCGGCCTTGGTTGAGGATCGCGGCCTTTGGGAGCACTGGGATCGCCTGATGCAATAAACCTGGGAAAAGGTGTCTCATCAGTATTTGAAACTCTGAATGCTCTTTAGTCCAGCCTGAGAACCACAGGCTTTTCTTTGGCTTTGAACTCTCACTGAGTGAATTCAGACCTTTTGAAACTCAGTAGTTTCCAATGGCATCATTTTTAATGCAGTTCTCTGGTTGTGGTCAGGAGCACAGAGATGTTCTGAGAGAGAATCTGCTCTTACACCTCACTGATAACACTACCAAGAGTAGAGAGTCAGTCTGTCTCAGTTCTTCCACATGGTTCGGCGTCAGGAGCAGAAGTAAAATGTTCTTCACATCAGTTTAGGGTTGTCACTGACCAAGGGGGTATTGACCTGAAAGCCAATTTAGTGGACCTCAGTCTACTGACAGTGAAGGGCTCCCCGCTCTAGTAAGCTTATCGTAAACCCTTACATGTGACTGGGCTCTTGTCAGTAATAATGAACCACACACATGCACACACATCTGAAGATCTACTTTTCACACACTGCTCCTTGAGAGCTCAAGGTTTGGGGATTATGAGAAAGTTTCTCACAAAAGAAAGGGTTGGGGTGAGGCTTAGAACTGAGCTTTCTATAAATTTCTGTCTTGTTTTATGCCTCTCCAAGGTGGGAATGATATAATCTCTTTATCCTTGACCCTTTTGTGTTGCTTTTGATTAAAGACTAGTCTTGTAGGAATTCTAAAAGTGGTATTTTACTTTTTCAAGTTGAGAAGGGAGGTTTTTTTATCTACCAGCTTTGGGCTTTGGTTAAGCAATCTTGGACCACTCTTGTGGAAATTGTATTCAGTCAGCAAGCCAATGACAGCAGACTTGCAAGAGAACCAGATCTTATGGTTGTAATCTTGTGCTGTGTGTGCCACCCTGGGAGGCCTTCCGAAGGAATTGTCGTCCCCAGCATTTTCTCTGGCATTTCTGTTTCACACTGTCATTTTCTGTGATATGCCACATGAGGAGGAAGACCAGTGACCGATTCTGTAGTTAAATTTTTTTTTAATCCCTTTAGGGTCTGGCCTCAATCCAGAATTTTCTTTCCTGTTGCTCCCCTTTACACTGAGGTCATATATCTAAAATTTAAATGGGCCCTGTTTTCTGTGTCCCTGTGCTGCTGTGCACACGGTTCTCTCTGTCTGAATAACGGCATTCCCATACTTCTTCAACACGCAGGTTTGTAGCATCCCTTAGACGCGGTCCAGACGCCGTCCCCTCTGTGGAACGTTGGCCCGTTCTCCTGCTCTCTCTAACTCCTCACTGTCAGCTGGCTGTTTTCTTTGTCCCTGAGGGATTTTACACCCCCGGTCTAGTATAGCATAGAGGACCATAATGTTTTTATGTGACAGTTTCTAAAAATTAAATTATAGACCTTTCAAAGGTAAGAATGGACTTGTATCTTTCACATAGTAGTAGGTATTGTATTAGTTGAGTTACATGAATGAGTAAATGAAAGAGGAAAAAAAAATAGAATAGAAAGAACGTGTCCTGCTCTCTCCTTTTGGTAAAATTTTAATAAACCGGACTTCTAAACCTCTGCCACTTCAGGGTTGGTTTTAGTAAGGGCTTCTTGGAAAATGTTGACATCTAATTTGGAGAAGGAAAAGATGAAAAATTGGTGTTGGAAGTTTGTAGAGGTGAGTGGTGGCCAGTAGCCAAACAGCTTGTAGCCAAACAGCTTGTTGGGTGTGCATGGGCAATGAAACGTCTCGGTGTGCATTGTATCCTACTGGTTGCTCTTCCTTCTGTAGTCATAAAAGGGATTCTGGAAAGGCTGTTTATGTTTTTCCAAATACCCCCTTCTTTGACATTAATTGAGGTATTCTGTTGGTCTTGGAAAAGAAAGTTCACTTATATATGTTAATTATACCAAATCTCAAATAATAGCTGCTCTTTCCATAATGTGATGATGCAACTTCCCAGGTGAGAATATTGGGTTTGGTGAGTTACATTTCAGACCACTTACAGAATCAGTCATTTGACACCTTGTCCCAACAGGGATTTTGCTGATTTTAGCTAATTTCTTCCTTTGCACCTTTCTTTTCATTGCAGTTCCTAAACCCAGAATTGATTTTTATTTCTAGAATTGCATCCATTATTGGGCATGTGTTGAAATACCAGTAGTATCAAAATAAAACAAAAAAGAGTTTAATTGCAAATAATCGAGTAGTGCTGATTAAAAAGCCCTTTCCTAAATCCTTTGCACAGTACAGTTGGTGTGGTTTTCCCCCAGCCCAGTTTTGTTTGTTAAGAAAAAAACCAATATGTCGGGGCTATTCTAGAAAGCCAGCTGATGAACTCACCTTTGCCTTTCTTCCATACTCTTCTACTGGGTCCCCACACCCCACGCCAGTTTTGGACACAAGCCCTTTGCTGCTGTGATGGGAAAGGAGCTCTTTCCCGAGTTTTGGTGTCAGGTTAGTGCAAAGGTTAGAAGTAGCCAGGTCACACTGGCTGAAGAGAACTGTGGTCACTGTGGCGGGGTACTGCTGGCACTCGCCCTTGTAATCCCCGAAGAGGAAAGAGCCGACAGCTTAGAGGAATGGATGCCCCTGAGGCAAAAACCTCATTTTGATCTTCAGATTGCATACTTGTAAACTTTTAGGAAGAAAAACACACTCATAATGTACCTCTATATTGCGCTGGCAAAGAATTGGGTATTGTTTGGGGCTACCTTTCATGAGGGTGCTGTTGGAACCTATCATGAGATTATTCTGAAACCCTTTAATTGTTTAAAGCTCTGCATGGGTGAAGAAGAATTTTGCTCTGGAGCTTGTGTTTTCTTCATTTCATCTGTACCTCTCCTGCCATTTTTCCTAAAAGGAGGAACTAAACCAATCAGTGCTTCATGATGCCTGCCTTTCCCTATTGGTTGTCCCCACCATTTATGCACATTTTGTTACTCATTTCAGAAAGATTTCCGAGTACAGGAACTCCCACTGGCCCGTATTAAGAAGATTATGAAACTGGATGAAGATGTGAAGGTAAATTCACATTCATTTTTATTTATTTATATTGAAGCTAAATTGGGTAGTTACTGCTCATTTCTCTAGAGCTCAAAGTTTAATTAAACAAAAATGAATATATTGCTATTGTTGCTTTTTTATTTGGTTCCTCATAAAATTGTTAAGTGAGCAGAAATTGAACAATTTTAGTTATTACGTGGTGCTTCCCTGAAAATAAGGGATGTCCTCTTTTCTAGATGTTGAAAAGATGCTGAGTGCTTTTTGGATTACCCTGTTCTTCTCAGTGTGTAGTGTAAACATGTAGCATCAAATCAGTAGGACGATGCCATCTTCTGAGCATCTTGTTACAATCTCATTTGTTGGGCTGAGCTCTAAGAAATATTTGATAATGATACTGCATCTGTGAGTTGTTTTACACAAATAATACTCGTGAGAGGGTTTATTTGGAGGTGGCCCTTACTGTATTCCTAGAAGTCCACCACCCAGTACAAGTGTCTCAGAAAAAGAGCCACTCTCGTTCCGTACCACTCAGAACTAACAGTCTCTCGTACTTGTAGAGAGAGCTAACGGGTCACAGCAACTCTCCCTTCTGCTAGCTCATTTCCTCCTTGTGGCAACCCTGTGCGATTTGATAGAGTAAGAATTACTAGTTTCTCTGAGAAAAGCTGTCACAAATTATAATTAACTTTGGAAGGACAAATTAAATGTTTATAAATTAAAGATCAAAGGCATATTACCAGATAAACCTAGAGAACAAAAAAAATTATTAGTTTTGTTTTACAGATAGGAAATAGACAAAAAGGTTAAAGTGCCTCTCCCAGAATCGGAGAACCGATCCCAGTACTCATCTTCTGCTTTCTTAGCTCCAGAGCTCTTCCCGTGGCCCCGTCCTGTGCAGACCGCCTCACCAGGGCTCAGGACCTGTCTGGCTGAGTCTGTTACAGTACTTGAACACTTGCTGTGCTCCAGTCCTTGTGCTGGGTTCTTTTACACATAGTATTATCTCATGTGGTTCCCACAACAGCCCTGGAAGGTTGTCCTCTTTTTTAGTGCAGGCAAAATAAAGCCCAAAAGGATGGGAAGCCAGGGATTTTGCGTAAATTCATTGACTCTCAAACTCACTGTGTTCCCCACAGTTCCTCTCCTTGGGTTATACCCCTTACTTGGATTATATAATTTAAGGCCCTGGGCAAGTTATGACTTCACCTCCCCTAAACCCTAGTTTCTCTAAAAGGCTATCATGAGATTAAGAAAGTGCATGGTGGGTGCTGGATAAATATTCTTTCTCCCTCTTCCCTTCTGCCTGCACTGTCCCTGTTTGTGGGTTTATTTTACCTTGGAATCTCTTGAGGCTTCCACCTCTCATTTTCCAATCCTTGCCCCATGGTCCAGTGGCAGGACATGAGGTGAGGAACAACTAACTGGTTGGAATGACGTGCCAGTGTCTGACGGGGAGGGCCTCTGTCTGTTGCAGATGATCAGTGCAGAAGCCCCTGTGCTCTTTGCCAAGGCAGCCCAGATTTTCATCACAGAGTTGACTCTTCGAGCCTGGATCCACACAGAGGATAACAAGCGCCGGACTCTCCAGGTAATTTTGTGGACTGACATTGGGAAAACTGGGTAAGCAACTGCCTTTGCCTGCCTCTTCTTGCATGGCTTTGGACCAAAGATTCTTCTACCTGAGGCCTCTGCCAAGTTGATATGTGTAACTGGTACCTTCCTCTGCTGTTGGGGGGCAGGCATACCTTATAACCATGATAGTATTTTCCCACCAGGAGTTTTGTTTTAATTAATTTATTTATTTTTAAAGATTTTATTTACTTACTCTTAGAAAGAAGGAAAGAGAAAGAGGTAGAGAAACATTAATGTAAGAGAGTAACATCAATCACCTTGACCACTCCAACTGGGGATCAGGCCCACGACCCAGGCATGTGCCCCAGCTGGGAATCCAACCAGTGGCCTTTCACCTTGTGGGACAAGGCCCAACTGACTGGGCCACACGAGACAGGGCGGCCCCACCAAGATTTTAATTTCCAACTCTCCCATGGTTTTCACAACTCAGTGACTGAACTGTTCATTTGGCAAGCCCTCACTACAAACAGAGGTTGGAGTGACATTTATCTATTTCCAGATGTAAACAATTTCTGGTGGGCAGCCTTGAGAGACTCCAGGAAAGGACAATCCCAGGAAGAATCAGTTTTAGTAACCTCATTAGCCTTTTTGTTCCTTGTCTGCTTTCCTGGGAATCTTTTTCCTCTTCTTTGTTCTCTTTTTATTTTAATCCAGGAAGTCAGCATTTATATTGTATGAAGACCCCTTGGTCCTTGGCCCTAGAGGCTCTTCTCTCACCAGTCAGGCCCTAGCTCTCGAAGGAAAGGCTTTCCAGACGAAAGAGGAAGGGTGTAACTGATACAAGAGAATGACAATATTTTAATAACAAAGTCAAGAAAGTATAGTACTTTGCTGTGTACAGTGCACGCTTTTTTGCCCACATCTTTGAGGGAAAAATAAGGATGCACATTATACATGGCTAATACCTAAAATACCTTGAATCTGTTCTTGTGTTTTGTAATTATTTGTTACATAAAATTTCTTATACCATAATATATTCAAAAATAAATGCTAAAATTCCTTTATAATACAAAAAGCAGGCATCTAAATATACATAAATAAATAATTGAATTAAAAACTTTTAATGAAAGATTTTTTCCCTTAAAGTTTGCATCAAAAACATGGGTGCACATTATATGCGGCAAAATATGGTAAATTATATTTTCTCCTCATTTCCTCTTAACTCCAGTTGAACATGCGTGTATATATTCATTTATTCTACACATACTTATTAAACACCCACAGTGTGCTGAACACGCCGAACACTGTTTTAGGTTCTGGAGATGAATACACAAAACACAAAAATCCCTACCCCTGGGAATTCTACATTCTAGCGCAGGTAGACATTGAGAACTTATTTTATGCTGCCTCGAAGGAAGTCTGTAGATCTAGAGAGCCAGTTGAAGTCACCTTCAAGATCAGTTAAGATTAAAAAGTAAAATGGGCAAAACACTTGAATGGGCACTTCAAAAAGATTCCAAATGACTAGTAAATGTGAAAAGGTGCATAACATTGTTTGTCGCCTGGGAAATACAAATTAAAACCACAGTGAGATACTGGTTTATACCTGTAGAATGGCTAAAACTTTTTTGAAAACCGACAATACCAAGTGTTGGTGAGGAAATGGAATGACAGAACTCATTACTGCTGGTGAGAGTGTAAAGTGCTACAGTCACTTTGGAATACTGTTTGGCACCTTCTAGTGAAGTTAAACTTGTCCCTGCTCTCTGACTTGGCCATTCTGTTCTTAGTTACACTCTCAAAAGTGTGGACATTCTTGTATCAAAACATTCACACCCAACAAGTGAACGCATCAAGAAGTGGAACCACAAATCAGTGTCTCTATGCCTCCCTCCCTCTCTCCCTCGCAAATCAATAAATTAAAAAAATGTATATTCATACCAACCGTATTTATAATAGCCAAAAACTAGAAACAATTCAAATATTCATTTAGATAGGAATATTTAAAAAAATTGTTACATTCTGCCCTGACCAGTGTGGCTCAGTTGGTTGGGCGCTGTCCCACGGAGCAAAAAGTTGCTGATTTGATTCCTGGTCAGGGCACACGCCTGGGTTGCAGGTTCAGTCCCTGATTAGAGCGTGTATGAGAGGCAGCTGCTCGATGTTTCTCAGACTGATGTTTCTCTCCCTCTCTTCCTCCCTCCCTTCCCCTCTCTCTAAAACTAAATAATTAAAATCTTGAAAAAATAAAATAAAAATTTTACATATTCATAAAATGAATTACTGTTCAACAATAAAAGGAAAATTGCTGATCTATACAACAACATGGATGAATATAAAAAATACTAGTCAAGCAAAAGAAACTAAAGAAAAAGATGACATAGCACATGATACCGTGTACTGCCCATGATGATGGAAGTCAGAATTGTGGTTGCTTCAGATTGGGGGTGTGGGTAATTGGCTGGGAAGGGATTCAGGGAAACTTTTTATGTTCTTATCTGAGAGGTAGCTGCCTGGGTGTATTATATTTATTAAAATTCATCTAGCTGTGTACTTAAGATTTCCGTATTTTACCGTATATGAGTAATAATTCAGTAAAATATTGGCACTTAAAAAGGCAAAATAAAAATGTTAAAAAGACCAATTTAAATATATTTATGTTCCCAAAATACTGTAGAACACTTTGGTGTATGTTTGGAGATGATGATTATTCCCCCCCTGCCCCCATTCCATCCTTAGATGAGCTGTGTAGATAGCTTCGAGTAGGTGACATCATCAGGAATGTGATACTATATTGTACTAATTGTAAATAAGTCCTGGCAGCTTTAAGGCGTGCCCTGCTTCGGTAGCATGGGTTTATCATCAAGCTGGTGGTTGGCAAGAATGGTGGACTAGAGTTTTGCATTTCAGTGGCATGGGGCCATCACAGAGACAAGGAAAGGAAAAAACAGAAAATTTCCATCCCCTCCTCTTTAGTCTGATGAGTCACCTTCTCTGAAGATGTGATATGTGGAGGCCGCTAAGGATTTCTATTAGTGAGTTGACATTTCCCCCCCAGCATTTGATAATGAAAAACTTCAAACATAAGCAAAGTTTACAGTGAATGCCTGTACACTCATCACCCGGACCTGACCATTAAAATTTTACTGCTTTTATCCCCGTATCTATCCCTCTGTCCATCAAGTCATCTATTTTTAAATGAATTTCAAAGTTTACTTTCCCCGAAATACTTGAATGTGCGTATCACTCACTAGAGTTCATTCTTTTTTCTGTTTTTTTCTTTTTCTTTAAAATGTTTATACAGTGTTAGTATGTTGGTTTTTAGTAAAAAAAAAAATCCTTTAATTTTATTATGTAAAGGAAGTGCGTGTCACTTTTAGAAGCCCGTTGGCGCAGGCCTCGATTTCCGAGTCGTTAGTCAGCCGACTCCCATGTTCTCTGCCCACCTGAGCCTCTGTTCTGGTACCTTCAGAGTTCCAGTGTTTATATCATGTTAAACAAGATTTGAGCCATGGATTTAACATTACAATTTTGAATTTCAAAATAAAAAGTATAGTAATACAGATCAGTTACTAGAAAATAGTGCAAAAAGTTATTGAATTAGGATTTCAGCCAGGAAATTCAAAACAGATTTTAACTACTTACGAACCAAAGAGGCAAAATATTATTCAGTGCCTTCAAAATGTTATTAGAGTGAATGATAGCCTAACCTTGCTAACACATAATTACCAGAACCCTGTCCCTTGAGGTTGCTAGATCTGTACAGATTTAGCTGGAGGACCATGATCTAACTGTCTTGGGGAGGACCTTGGGGCAGAACCCAGCAGAGGCAGTAATAGTTGGATCTGGTTTGTAGAGCATGAGCTGAAGGTAGTTCTATTTTGTCAATTTTGTAGATGTCTTGCCCACAAGTGTGATCATTTGAGGTTTATGAGAGTTTGGCTGCGCTTATTTCAGCTGTAGACTTGGCCATGGGTACTCAGTTTGGCTTAGAAGTCATCGTCTTGTCTTACTTGTAGCTTGGAAGGTATAAAGCCCGGTGAACTACTTTCTCCCCAGGCTAATTTTTCACCTTGCTTTTCTTTGTTACAGAGGAATGATATCGCCATGGCAATTACAAAATTTGATCAGTTTGACTTTCTCATCGATATTGTTCCAAGAGATGAACTAAAACCTCCAAAGCGTCAGGTGAGCTGGGAAGGCATTGCTGCTACTGCTGACTGAAGAGCACCTTGCGTGTGGGTGTCAGATGACGCCCCTTTCCTCTCTCAGCACAAGTCATTGCTGTTTCTTTTGCTTCTCCTTCTCTAGACCAGATCCATCCTTAACATCTCCTTCTGTTACTCATTTATGGATACTTTTAACTCAATGCTGCTGAGGTGGTATTTCAGTGAAAATAGGCAGTGAAAATTAAAGACTTTGGTTATAAACAGTAAAGTGAAGCTCATTTCAAGGTATCCTAGGAAGTGTATCAGAGTTCATCTGGGATGGGCAAACATGCTCAGTGAGGTACAGGTCTTAGATTTTTCAAGAACCAGCCTCTCTATGCGCACAGTGGTGTTTGGAGTGAGTGGACGTGGGTTTTCTCCTACTCTTGGTTGTGGTTCTCCATGTAGTGCTCTGGCTACACAATAGAGTTACCTGCTAGGCTTTAAGAAAGTGCCAGTGCCCAGGCTCCACGCCACACCAGCTGAATCAGAACCTGAGATGGGGAGGCCCTGGCATCGGGCTTTTTAAAGCTCCCCAGATGCTTTTAATGTGCAACCAAATTTGAGAACCACCACTTAAGCCGTTTTCTGAGCAGTCACTGGAAAGAATGTAAATGTCTGTCTGCCTTTCCCTCGCTTCTGCCCGTCCCTCTCCAAAGGTCACACCAGCTATTTTTTCAGTACTTCGGGTGTGTAAAGCTCTTAATTGTGATTGTAATAGACCCCTCTCCTGAATAACTCATTGTTTCAGGCACACAGATTGCATGACTCACCAGGTGTAGTGGAGATACTTGGGGAACAGTGGCAGAGTTTGGCAGGAGCAAAGCTGGGCCTTACTCTGCTTGCTTTGTTTTGTTAATACAATTTTAAGTGGTTTTAATGAATTATTTCATAGTACATTATCCTCAGAAACAGAATCATTCTCTGATTCCCATGCTGTCTCATATTAATAATCAGTCAGAAAGTGTGGGAGAAGTGGGCGTCTTAAAGGACATCTGTAATCCTGACCCTTTGGATTAGCTAGCCCTCTGTCACCTCCTTACTAAAGCAGGGAGCCTCACTGCGTCTCCGTTCTTCCTGGGCAGTCTTTGCTACTGTAAACATCCTTGACTGGAAGCTGTAAGGTGTTCAGAGGAGCTTTCAGTCGGATGTTTACAGCGGCAGGCTGCCACGGTCGTCCCTGGCTGCGCATCGCCTCTGAAACATTGCAGGTCAGTGCCCATGGGCTCCATTCCTCCTCTTGGGGTGTGTCCCTCCTCTCTGAGAAGTCACTCTGACAAGAACTCAGACCATTTCTCATCCTGCAAAACAAATGATACGACACACACGCTTCCTTGCTGGAATTTGTTTCAGGAGCCCCCTTCAAAAGCAAGGGGGTGAGATCTCTGACAAAATCAGGCCTGGCTCCTGCTCCTTGTGCTAACTCCTGCTTGTTCTCTGTGGGCTGCCTGTTGAACCAGTTGGCTGAAGAGAAGGGTCATATCCTGTCCCTTTCTCCCAAGTCCTCAGTACTTGGCTCTCTTAGGGTGTCAGACAGCTCCTTGTTCCATCCTACTCTGACTCAAAATGCAGTGATCCGTTTCTTTAAAGTGTGTCTGGCTGCAGCAGCTCCTTGCTGTCTGGATTTAGTTCTTTGTAGGTATTCAAGCCATTGATTGGCATCCTATTCGGGATAGCTGCTGCCTGGCCTTTGAAAGGTTAAGATTGCTGAAAAGTGGTATGAAGTTCTAAGGCACTTTTAATCTTCTGTGGACATGGTTTTCCCAAGCTCCAAATTGGCTGGCATCTCCTTAAGTCCTTGAAAAAGCACCCATTCTCCAAAATTCACCCTTTCTGAAGGAGGCAGCAGTTCACTCTTGATACCGAAGCGACTATGCTTTTTTCCAGTCTGGGGCTGGCTGCACTACACTATAGTGATGGCCCTAGGAGGGGATGCAGCTCGTCCTCTGGCTTCGTTAGTCAGTCTCCACTTCTGAACACATTCCAAGAGCAAGCCCTCTGGCCAGGGAGGCCATTGCTAAAGCTGGGCAAGTGCCCTGTTCTGGATTGATCCAGCCATCCCAAGATGGTTCTAGCACTTGGGATGACATTCCCCTGCTGGGAGAAGGAACTAGTTGCAAATGTTGAGTTGGGGATCTAAGGCCCTTGGCTTCTCAGAGGTGCTTAGGAATTTCTCTTGTTCTTTGGAGAAGAACGTAAAAACTATTTGAAAGCAGAAGGTAGTTGAGGCCTGACTTCTAGCCCACTAAAGCTATGAGTTGAAAGTTCCTGCCCATTAAAATACCATTTTCTCTTCACCCATCTCTTTAAACCAAGCATAACCATTCCCTTGCTAGCTTGACCTCCATTGGCCGAGTGAAAATTCGTAATGCTGAAGAACCTCAGGTCTGCCTCCTCCCATTCCAGTGACTGGAGCATAGTTGTGCCCTCCTGACAGTGCAGACCTAGGCAGCTCTGCATGACTGAGCGTCCTGGATGTTGCCTGGTTCATACGTTAGGAGGCTGCGGCAAGCAGCATGGGAGGGTCTCCTACAGCTTTCGGCAAAGGGGCGTTTTGGCTTCTGAAAGGGGTATTTAAAGGGTTTACTTTTTTAAAAAAAAGATTTTATTTGTTTACTTGTAGAGAGAGTGAAAGGGAGGGAGAAAGACAGAGAGCGAAACATCAATGTATGAGAGATACATCAATCAATTGGTTGCTTCGCCCCCAACTGGGGGCCTGGCCCGCAACCCAGGCATGTGCCCCAGCCGGGAACTGAACCTGTGATCTTTTTGTTCACAGCCAGGGCTCAATCCACTGAGCCACACCAGCCAGGGCTAAAGGATTTGCTTTTTGACAAAGAAGACCATACTCACTTACAGATCAGCTGCAGTCAGGGATAGCTGGATACAGAGCAATCACAGGTCAGGGCTTGGAAACGCCGGTGTCTCCTACCCGCTGACTGGGGTGGGGGTGAGGCTGGGGGTGGAGTGGCTCTCATCTCTCTCTACCGTCTCATCACCCAGGAGCCTTTTCAAGTTACGTGTGGGCTTCAGTGATGATGTTTTTTATAAAATGGGAAGGGAGATCTCAATGGAAAACATTGAACTCTTTTCAAGAGCTTTGAAAAAGAGCAGTTCCTTGGCTAAGGAGGCTGTCGGTGTTTTATCCCTGCCATAGCCAAGATCTAGTTGACAAGACTGACTTTTATTTATAACGGCAAGAAGTTGGAGTCAAAATGGAGGTGACATCGTCACAGTCAAGTTGTTCTGGGAGCTGAGACCTAGATGAAACTAAAAGGGACCTCCTCTTCTGCCTCAGCACGATCACATTCAGGTTTCACACTGTCTGGGTCTGAAGTACAGAATGCATTAGCCTAAAAAGTTGGTAAATGTTCGGGCACCAGCACAGGAACCTGGCAGGTCACAAGTATTCTTCCTCGGCTGGGTAGACGCTCATCAGGGAACTTGGTCATGCAGAGACCCAAGTTTCTCAGAGGCCAGATACCTGGCAGTTTTAGTTTTAGTACCTGGGCCCCCCAGTCACCAGGCAAACAAAAGAACACCCAGCTCTGTTCCACAGGGGACGCGAGCTTCTTCCTGCGCTAGACCACAAGATCCTAGAGGCAGCAAAGAGAGTTTAGGGACTCCTTTTCTCTTGGTAATATCTGTTGTGTTCGAGAGACTTTGTCCTACTATCAACTTGAGTTTAAAAAAAGTACAGGCATACCTCGGAGATATGGGGGGTCAGCTCTAGACCACCACAATAAAGTGAGTACAGGCATCCTGGAGATACTTCGGGTTTGATTTCAGACCACTAATAAAGCAAATGTCTCAGTAATGTGAGTTGTAATTGTTTCACTGGTGGAGGGTCTTGCCTTCAGTTTGTTTAAAAAACCTGAACACCTGGAAGCACAACAGAGTGAAGCACAATAAAACGTCGTGTGCCTGCACTTTCCTGTCTCTGACTGTCTGCCTGGCTCTGTGAGTCCCTTCCCGCTCAGCAGGCGCTTACTGGGTGCCTGTAAGGGAATGAATAGCTGGGGCAGTGGAGAGCAAGAGAGAGCTAGGCTTTGCCCTCGTGGGGCTTCCGTTCTACCAGGGAAAGCAGTGACTTTGATAAGCAAGGACAAAACATGTAATGAGGAAAGGGCTGGAGCACAGATTACAGCCCCTAACCTAATGAGGGGATGAGGTCAATACCAGCTTTGTGAGTGTCACTTGGGGGAGCTTTGAGGCGGGCCACAGGGTCTCTATACCTTGAAGAAGTATCTTTCCCTATTTCTTTGAACCTGGCAAATTTGGTCCAGAACAAGGGAGTGAGTAAATTTAGCTGTTTTTTTTTTTGTTTGTTTGTTTGTTTGTTTTGCTCAGCCAGCCCAAGTTGTATGTTTCTGTTGTTTTTGTTGTCCCAGGCAGGGTCACCGTGTGTCACAGGGCCCTCCGGAGCAGATGCCGATCTCTGTCAGTGGTCAGGGCCGGCCGACCCTGGACCCTCAGGCTCTAACCATGCCGTAGTGCGTGTAAACATCCTACACTCTCAGCTGTGAGCTCAAGGTGGCTGGGAGAGGGTTGTTTACTCCTTCTGCCATGGAAAACGTCAGCTGAAGAAGGAACAGTCTCTTCACCGGGCAGATCGGACAGAATGCGACCTCCCTAGTCAGCCAAGGCGGCACCCCAGCGGAGAGCTGTCCCTCAGGCCCCCTGGGTTGCGCTTCTGTGGCTAAGTACAACCAGCACCAGATGTGACATTGGATAGATGTGGCCCTCAGTGACCACGGAGCTCTCGACGCACTGTGAAACGCTGGGCACTTCCCTACTAAAATATCAACCCAGGAAAAAAGCCCCTTGTCTCTTTTCCCTGCTCAGTCTCTCCTGAGGTGGTGGGAATGAAATAAGGAGAGTGCTGCCTATTTGGGAGATTGGGAACTGGCCAGAGAGCGTGGCGTCTGGGTAGCGTCTTCCAGTGCTTGCAGTTAGCACTGTCCTCGGGTCCCAGCCCTGACCGCATGCACTGTCAAGCACTGCTGGTGCGTGGCTTCTGGCAACAGTAATTATTTGCCCATTTGTAACTCATCGTGCAATGGGTGATAACTCTGTTCTTTGGAAAATTGGCTGTATGTTTTGTGAAGTCTATGGAATCTGTTATTTTTAGTTTGATTTAGCACAACTGGTCTCTTCGAATTCCACTTCCCCTTGGCTTCAAATGTGGAGAGCTCAGCATTCAGCAGGCAACTGCACAGAGCCCATTTGGGGGAAGAATGGAAATTCACTCTGGCGGCTGCTGAGTCGGTTCTTTTCCTCTTACCTGCCTCTCCTTCTGCCCCACAGGAGGAGGTGCGCCAGTCTGTGACCCCCGCCGAGCCCGTCCAGTACTACTTCACGCTGGCTCAGCAGCCCACTGCCGTCCAAGTCCAGGGGCAGCAACAAGGCCAGCAGACCACCAGCTCCACCACCACCATCCAGCCCGGGCAGATCATCATTGCGCAGCCTCAGCAGGGCCAGGTCTGTGCGCTGCAGAGGGGACCTGCCCAGCAAGATAGGACTCCTAGGTTTGGGGTGGCGAAAGCTTGACCAGGGCAGAGAGGTCCTCAGACTGTTTCAGAGCACTGGGTGTAAAGGCCGGAAACCTGGCTGCTCCCCAGACTCAGCTGCTGAGGTGACATGACACCCTGATCTCTCTGGACCCTGGTTTCCTTATGGGTCAAATGAGGGAAGGATAGTGGACAAGATGTTCCTCATGATCCTTACGAGCTAAGAAGTTTAGAAGGAAAAACTGTACAGCGCCCCCACGAGGAGTAGTGGCATCCCCGTAGAAGACGTTTAGGGTGGGCTCCACGCCTGCTGTCTGTGCGCCTGCGCCAGAGCTGGAATTTGTGTCCTTAAGCGGGGGGTCGGGCCTGCACTCTCCCACCCCCCTGCTCCCCATCACTGATCTGCTGTAGTCGTGTCACGGGACCGTCTTTTTCACAGCAATCTTCCGAAGACTGTCACTCCCCAGTGCAGTTGTCATGAGAGCAGTCAGGCTACGTTTGTTGGGGGTCAGGAGAGGCTGCGGAGGACTCTGCTGTCTCACCTCTGGACAGATTTCCTGTCAGTCGTTAATGTTTTTAGTTGTCAAACACTGATCGTCCTCTGCAGGTGAAGTCCTGTGCTCTGTGTGGGGGGCACGAGCATGAACGAAATAGTCTCTGTCTTTAGGAATTCACAGTCTCATTGGGGCCACAAATACTTACAGATCACACCGCCGTGTGGGAAGTGTCAGGTGTTCTTGGGACTGGGTCGAGGGTGCCGTGGGAGCACGTCAGAAGGGTCACCTGACAAAGACGTGAGGAGGGTGGTAGAAGGATGTCAGAGAAGGTTCCTAAGGGAGTAGTACGAGTTTTAGAGGGAATAATGGAGGGGAGTCAAAGGGGGGAAGGAGGGCTTTCCCGTTAGAGGGCTCAGCACAAGCAGAGGCTTGGAGGTGGGCAACAGCACAGGGAGGGTGAGAGGGTGCAGCACAGGGAACACCCAGGCGAGGCTGGCGGGACTGGCAGAGGACACCGCCTTGACAGCCTGGGGCACTCTAGGAAGGAGCTGGATTTGCCTAGAAGAAAAGAATTGGAGTGTTGGTAGATTTAAATATGATTTTCGGATTTATTCCCTGCCCATTTTTTTATCCATGTAACAAATCTATTAAGTGTGTGGTCTTTGCCAGATGCCACGCTCAGCAGGAGGGCTTTAAAGATGAGTGCTGCCCAGCCCCTGCCTGAGGTTGCTCAGGGCCGTGGGGCCTGCCCGACCTTCTTGGGCCCTTGCTTGTGCCTCTGCAGTGGTGAGAGCCTGACCCGCCGAAAGCTTTACCCCTTCGCAGAGTGAACTTCAGGGGAGTCTGTTGGGGGCCAGCTCTGGCTGGTTGGTCATCCCAAGACTCATGGCTGTTGTGTCCCAACAGCAAGGCACATCGTACGTGACTTGATTGCTGCCAGGCTAACTCAAGCCCTCATTTTCCTGAAAGGACTTAAAAATAGTTTGGAAATCCTCTCTGAGGAAAATTAAGTTAATAGAATACAATGATGAGTTGGCAGTATACTTTTTTTTTTCTGGTCGAATAGATTTCATCTATTCTCTTCTCTGCCACTCTGGACTTGCTCAGCTCGGAGCTGATGAGGCTTGTGAGGATGGGCCACTCGGTCTGTCCTGGCACCTCCCAGCTGTCATTTTGCTGTCTCACTGGTTTGGGGTGGTCTTGGCTGTGGGACAGCTCCCTGGACCTCTGTAGAAGTAGCTGTTTCAAGTTGAGTGCAGATAACCTTTGCAGAAGAGAATACACACTAAAGTTGGAAGGAAAGCATATTTTGGTAAAGCTAATCCTATATTTTCTGTCAGAAATCAGTCACTTTTATTCCTGGAGGCTTGGGGAACAGGCTGAGTGGAAAGTCGCAGTGTGAGAACAAGTGTTTCCTGCTGTCCTAGCCCATGGCATGCATTTCTGCATGGGTCCCTCTGTCCTTTTTCTTTCCCACCCTGCTCCAGTTTACAGAGGTTTCTCCTTACCTTGTGGTCCCTTGAAGCTCCTGTGTAGTTCCCGGGACACCTCCCTTCCCTTGCAGCTTCCGGTGTGTAACAAACCTATGCAGTCAGAAAGGAGAGAGCGTCAGAGCAGCAGCACTGACGGAAGCTCGTGAGACGCCCAGGGCCTCTTGTTGAAGAGGGGAGAGAGCATATCCAAATCAGGGGTTTAGGGGTCTAGGTGTAGTGTATGTGTGTATGTATGTATGTATTTTTATTCCTCACCTGAGAATATGTTTGTTTGTTTGTTTGTTTGTTTTAAGGTTTTATTTATTCATTTATTTTTAGAGAGGGAAGGGAGGGAGAAAGAGAGAGAAAGAGAAACATCAGTGTGCGGTTGCTGGGGGCTATGGCCTGCAACCCAGGCATGTGGCCTGACTGGAAATCAAACCTGCGACACTTGGGTTTGCAGCCCAAGCTCAATCCACTGAACTACGCCAGCCAGGGTGTTTATTGATTTTTGATGGGGGCAGGGGGTGGTGGGAAGAGACATCAATGTGAGAGACAAACATCGATCGGTTGCCTCCTGTGCGCACCCCGACCAGGGATCAAACCCGCATCCCAGGCACGTGCTCTGACTGAGAATTGAACCTGCAACCTCTTGGTATATGGGACAATGCTCCAACCAACTGAACCACCTGGCCAGGGCTATAGGTGTACTTTGAAAGGCTCTACCTTCTTAACCACCACCATCCCCTACCCCCTACTAGCACCAGATGAGCAAGGTATGTTATAAAGGTCACCTCTGGGGTCAAGTTTTGAGATTTGAAGAGAGGATTGACCTTTTTGACAGTTCAAGTCTTTACAGTCTCTCAAAGTAAGTTTCATAGGACTATGGTCCAGTAAATGTGTGTGAAAGACACAGAATCTGCAAAGCCATATACATTAGACACAATTTCTTAAATCTGAGCTTCCTATTTTTCAAAAGTTAAAATTCTTACTTTATTAAATTCTGTTACTTAAGGGTAGCCTCAGTTAGGATCCAGGCGTTAATCCCTCGCGGTGTCCAGTGCGTTCACCCGTTTGCCTCTCCCATGGAAGCTGCGCTGCGAGCTGGAGCGGCTGGTGGGCACGGGCATGGGCTGGAGCTGCTCCGCTGCTCTGGGGGAGGGGTGGGGTGAGAACCAGCGTGCACTCGATTCTCCTTCCAGTGTCTTGCCGGCCTAACAAGTTGCTCAGGATTCTGAGTTCAGTAGATTCATACTGACCCCATTTTCCTTTTAGTTTGCCCTCCAAATTCACCTGCTCCAGACTTGACTTTGGCCTCTTCGAAAGTGAACTGTCATGGTTGCTTTTGATTCTTTTGTACCATGTATACCTTACCATCATTGAAATGGCTGTGAAAAGTTGCAACATTTGAAGCATAGAGGTGTTTTGGGCCTGGGCAAATAATAGGGACTATGAGCCTAAAAATCAAATGTTTGGTCTTTTATTTTGGTGAGTAACTTTCACAGTGCTTTAAGCCCAAAGGACTCTGTTGGTTGAGTATTATTGCTAGTGTTGGGGTGGATTCAGGTGTTTGTGGAGAAGGTTTGCTCCTAGTTAACCACTGGTTATTAGCCCCTTGGTTAGCCTACTGACTCTGAGCCACAGCTCAATCAGCTTTCCTGTGCCTCTTCTTTCCAGACCACACCAGTGACCATGCAGGTTGGAGAAGGTCAGCAGGTGCAGATTGTCCAGGCCCAGCCGCAGGGTCAAGCCCAGCAGGCCCAGAGCAGCACTGGACAGACCATGCAGGTGATGCAGCAGATCATCACGAACACGGGAGAGATCCAGCAGATCCCGGTAAGCCCTGCCCTGCCTTGCCTTAAGGTCTGCATGGCACTCCACTCAACACTGTAACAGGAAGTACTTAAAGATTTTATATCTCTGTATGTGTGTATTATATGTGTGTGTGTATTTTGTTATGTATATAACACACACATACATACATACATTTATACATTTTTTTAAACTATATTCCCATTACCACAGACCACAGTTTGCTTCACTGTATGCTCACTGCTTTCCATTAACCCAGGTTCAAGTTCACCACTGTGGGGCAGCTCCTTTTAATTTCCCCTCACTCCATCTGTGCAGAGAAATCATTGTAACCACTATTCCATGCCAAGGCCCAAAGGCCTGTGAGGCCGTCCTGTCTTTTGATTAGTAGAGAATAGGAGGGAGGTGTACAGGGAAGGCCATAAATACACTTGTTGCATATTCATGAGGCGGTTCCCAGTGGAGCCTGCAGCAAAGTGTATTTTTGGCTTTCATTTAACTTATCCATTCCTTCACTGTGGACTGCAGCTTCCTGTGTGCCTTGAGGGATTTCATTTCTTAGATTTGTACTTGTTCTTTTGTTGAAAATGTTCTTGTCTTAACACTTGCCATCTATACATTGGTCATTTTGCCAACAAAAAATGTAGAAAGTGAGTGACATGGAGCAGTCCTTCTGTTTCCTGCCCCTTACCCTTCCTATTGTAAATGAAATGTAGGCAGGTCCAGAAATTCACTTGAACTTGATGAACCACCCCCTCTCTGAAAAACGCTTGAAAAGTATCTTCAACTCTTTTTGTAACTGTTCTTATTAAGGTAACAGAGTAATAGGCCAGAAAAAACCTTAGGAAAGTGGAGTGTGTGTGTGTCTCTGTGTCCGTGCCTATCACTTTCTGTCTCATCTTGCATGCACTTGAGTGCATGCACGCTCACTCTCTCTCCCCCTCCCCCCCGTGTGTGTGTCTGACACACACACACACACACACACACACACACACAGCCCATCACTTCCAGGTGCCTTGCCTCACTTTTTCAGCCACCAAGCCCCAGACCTCTCTCTTGAATGATTTTTGCTCATATGGAGGCTCCACAACAAATTCATTTCAGCCAGAGATGAGTTCCCACTTTGCAGTGACTTCAACTTGAGTGTTTTTAATCCTGTGGAGCACAGGGCTTTAGCACAGGTTTACTGTAGAATTCAGGGCCTGGTCTCCATTGTTCTCACATAGGAGTCTGCACTTCTGAACTTATCAGTGTGCTTTCGGTAGTGATGACCTTCAGGAAGGAAATTTTGCTTCTCTTTTGAAAGCCTAAGGAGTAGACTTATTTGCTCTGTATTAATGTAAAAAGCTGTGAGGACCCCCAGACCGAGCCTTGCAGAGGACTGAGAGATATCACCAGATCCTAAATCGAAGCCTAAAAGAAGGGCATCTTCTAAGAACTGCTTGGAACTGTTTGGCTCACAGCTTTTCATTCACATCTGAGTTTCTGCAAAGAGCTCTTCCCAGCCAGGAAGTGGAAAATCCCTGTGGCCAGCAGTAAACCTTCCCCCATTCCTGGGATGAGACTTCAGTCTCTCACCTCCTGTGCCTTGGCTGGCGTCCTGGTGACCCCGGGACCGGCCCCCTCAGCCTCAGCACGTGAGCTCTCCTAAGCCCCCACCCAGTTGCCTTCAGCCCCAGGAGCGTCTTAGCACTGTCGCCTGGGAGCCGCATCAGGGGACCGAAGTGGGGAGGCGAGCTTGACCCTCACGGCTTCCCGGCAGCCCCTCTCGGCGTAGTCTCAGGAAGCGAGTGACCGAGGGCCACGATAGCGCGCCCTGTCTCCTTTGACTAGATTCTTCACAGGTTTCGGTTTTGTGGCGCTCTCCATCTTGCCTTAAGCAGATGATTCTGGAATGGTCTACCAAAACTCCAGCATTACTCTTTCTTGGTGGCTCTGGTCCTCTGAGGCTGGCAGCTTCAGAGGGGCAGTTCGATTTAACGCCGCGTGTAGGAGTGCAGCAGTGCAGCTTCCTCCTGGCAGCGTCTGCCTCGTGGAAGTGAAGTTCCCTTCAGTGGCACTAGCTCTCGAAGGGGAACATTAGCCACAAGAAGCCCATCCTCACAGTAGAGGCGGGCTGGGCCGCCCGGGACCGTGGTGTCCGGGCCCCCCAAAGAGAGAGAGAAACTGGGTTTGCTGGTCCTCCTGGAGCCTCTCTCGCCCCAGCATCTCGGTGCGAGTGTCTGCAGGCCGCCTCTGCTGACTCTCGTCTCTGCTGAGCCACCGTTCTCCTTGAGTTGTAACTGCCTTGGTCCTTTCTTCACCCCGCACGCCGAGCACTAAAACTTTCATGGCACACTGGAGCGTTAAGAGCCTGAGTTAAGGCTTTTAGCACACAATTAAATGCAGCATGTGGTATTATTGTATTATCTGAGACTTAATCTTAAGCACGAGGGACTCGAAGGGCATTTTTGTAGCTTTGGTTTCCCATGATGGGTTTTTCTGTGAAAGGTTTATTGATTCAGCTTCCCCTTGGGAGGTGTTTGGCCAGAAGCTAGTGCTGAACACCAAGGATCCTAAAGTCCCACAGACGCCCCCACCGGCCCTGGCTCCTGGGGACAGAGATCATAAAGCGGGTCAGCTTTTTCTTCCGGGGTGTGCAGCATGGAGTGGGGCGGTTCTGGGGCTGTGGTGCGGAGTGACGGCCATCTGCTCTGTGCTCCTGGCAGACGCTGGGGCTTCTCTCCATGCTAGAGCAGCCATTCTGGGAACCCGGGCGGAGTGGTGTGGAGGTGAGGGGAGAAAGGCCTGCACCTGGGCTGCGAGCGTTCTGATAGTGTTCGACAGCCTTTAGGGCAAAACTCTTAAGGGGAACTGAGCAAGGAGCGAAGAGCCAAATGAAGGTGACAGGGTTCTCAGGAAATTTTTCAAAGTCCATTCAGGGAACATAGCCTTTTTCGTGTTGTATGATGTGCAGGGCAGGGGGGTGATGGTTTAGCCAGACCTCTGTTAGAAAGGGCCTTTTCAGGGTAGACTTCTTTGGGGGGCTCAAGGGAATAGGGGACGTGAGAAGCATGCCTGAGGTTGCACTCAGTCTCCTGTGGTCTTTTCGTCCCTGCCCCTCCCCTAGGTGCAGCTGAACACCGGCCAGCTGCAGTACATTCGCTTAGCCCAGCCTGTGTCAGGCACCCAAGTCGTGCAGGGACAGATCCAGACGCTTGCCACCAATGCTCAACAGGTATGTGCCCCAGAGACGAAGGGCTTCAGCTGGGGACCAACCGGGCCTCTGGCTGGAAAGGAGTGCTCAGCGCACAGTTCTCTCTCGCCGTGTGACCCTTCAGCAAGAGCCACCTCCACACCCTGCATATTTATTGTGCACCCCAAGGCACAGCTGGGGGCTTTTGGAAGATCGTATTCACAGTGTCTCTGTTACCATGTTGTTGTGGAGGGACAAAGAAGTGCAAGGCAGGGAAGTCTCCAGGATGCTTGGGGAAAGCCTGATGTTACTGCGTGAACGTCTGACCAGAAGCAGCACTTTGACAGACTGCCTCATTGTCAGGCTGAGTTTCCATCTTTAAAACTGAGCAGCTGTGCGTTCTGGCACCTCCTCTACCCTTTAGAAAGCTCCCTTAGATTTTTTTAAAAAATATTTATTTATTTTTAGACAGAGGGGAAGGGAGGGAGAAAGAGAGGGAGAAAAACATCAGTGTGTGGTTGCCTCTTGCATGCCCCCTGCTGGGGGCCTGGCCCACAACCTAGGCATTTGCCCTGACTGGGAGTTGAACCAGCGACCCTTTGGTTTACAGGCGGGTGCTCAATCCACTGAGCCACACCAGCCAGGGTTGCTTACTTACATTTTATGCTCACCTCCTCAGGCATCCTTAACCAGTGATTGCCCCCTCATCTTCTCTCATGTCCTAGGATATTGAAGGCCGTGAGCCCCAGGTGCTGAGTGGCTGCCTCCCTGGGCTTGGGGGTTAGAGAACGTGGGCATTATTTGTAGAGGAATGGGGTGCTGGTCAAGGGGAGGCATTGTTAATGGGTTCTTTTGCCTCAGGCCCCAAAAAAAGCAGCAATCGTTTAAGAGCTGGCTCTGTCTGGCCCCGTTGCGCTTCTGGTGAGGCATCTATTGACAGCAGTGACAGCTGAGTGTGCAGAGCAGGTCTCCAAAGATCTCGTTTGGGGAAATGGGAGGGATGAGCCAAAAGTAAAGCTTCTGAGTTCCGGGTAAGTTTCTGGGATCCTTAAAGGCTTACATAGGGACTTGGGCTTTTCCCTAATTTCCTTGGTGCTCACTGACATGGAATCAAAGATCAAGACTGGTCACACCTTTGGGTACCTCCTCCTCCCCCTTTAAAAAAAACAAACAACTTGTAAGATTCTAACCCGGGATCCAAAAAACTTTCCATGGCCTGGGGGTGGGAGGAAATGCAAAGGAACAGTTTTTGGTGTTTCCCCAGATGTGAGTTTTGGAACCAGAAACTGAAGCCACAGAGTGGGGAGAGTTGGGTACACAGTGCGGGGCCGGGTGGGGGAGCGCTGTAAGAAGAGAGCACTGGAGGGTAGAGCCTGCATGACAACAGATTGTAATCGTGACAGCTGGCGCTTCGTAGGTGCTCAGTAAATATTTTTTGAATGATGCTGAGTAAATAGTATGTAAATAGCATGTAAAGTTAAATAAAACTTTCTTTTCAGCTGCGGTAAAGATCAATCCTGCTGGCCACAGGGCACAGTTAACCTCATCTGTGAGGAATATTTTCCATTTGCCTCAGGGTCATTCGTTTACTCTGCAGACTTTTCTTTAATACTTAGTTTGTACTGAGCGGTGGCTCAGCTCCTGCCCTTGTGCAGCTTGCAGACCAGTGTGAGGAGAAAGACTTGAAACCAGGAGCAACAGGAAGAAACCTTTATGGAGCCCTTTCACACCTGTCCCCTTCTTGCCCTGCGTAGCCTCCTGGGCAGGCCAAATGGGTTGTTTTTGGCTGTTGTGAGGACACTTGAGAGGACAGTCCTTGCCTGGCAGGCTGGCTGTGCTGACTGCAGGAGGTGGTACACAGAGGCCGTTATCAGTCGAATGTTCCATAGGCACACGCGGGCACACTGGAGATGCTGCCGTCATCTTGCTCATCTGCCAGGCTGTCCCACAGCTGGCACTGTAGGGTGCATTTCTGCACGCCAGCAGATTTCTTTTAAAGTCCACACCTAGGATTTTAAGTGCACGTGATAAATGTTTTCCTTGCTTCCTTCCCCACCCCTCCCACCTTGGCCCAGAGGGCTGCACGTGGCTGTCATCGGAAAAACTGCTTCATAGGTTTGCCACCAAGGCTTCCAGGGCCAAGGTCACCTGCTCACCAGGGTGTTTCATATTCCAGTCAGATAATCTGGGTGATACGGGTTTGGTTTGGAGCCCACCTTCCAGGAGTGAAAGGGACCACTCACTGCCTTGCCCAGTTGTTGCAAACTGTCTTCACTGGCTGAAAGACTCTTAGGGCTTCTGCCCGAACAATAAATGTTGTGTCCTCTCCTGTCAGCACTTAGGAGCTAGATGTGTGTTTGATCTGAGTCTCAGGCACCAGAAAGACCTTGGGGCTGGGGCTAGTGAGTGGCCATTAATAGTACGTGGTCCCAGGTCCTCTGTGTGGTGTCAGCTCCGAGGAGCCTTCAGTGCTCCGGGGTGGGCAGGGGCCCTTGCTCTTCTGCTCATCGGGTGCCTGCTCTGTGCCAGGCCTTATCCTGGGCATCTTGTACCCGTGGTTTCCCTTGATCTTTGCAGCCCACTTCTGGGCGGTGGGCTGGTGAGCCAGGCCCTGCGGCTGACCTGCCTGCTCTGCTGTCTTGATTCCTGCAGATCACACAGACTGAGGTCCAGCAAGGACAGCAGCAGTTCAGCCAGTTCACAGACGGACAGGTAGGACATCAGCGGGGGTGGGGCGAGGGGTTGGGGGCTGGGGGCTAGTGGATGACATCTGTGAGTTTGGATGGTTAGGGCAGCTGTCCCGTCTTCTGTTAACAATGACTGGACAGAAATTGTTAAAAACAAGTACAGTCTTTAATAAATCAGCCAGTGTGGGAGCTGAACATAACCTTAGACCTTGTCTAGCCCAAATCCCCAGTTGACAGATGACTAGACTGAGCCCTAGAAATGGGACGTGCCTTGTCCATGCTCCCTCAGCTGTTCGTTGCAGACCCAGGACTATAACACAGGTCTCCTCTTCCCTCTCTAGGACTAGTTTTTTTCCCTGAGCCATGTTGCTTTTTAATAGCATGGCTCAGTTGGAATGCAGAGAACACGTGACCTCTCAGCCTCTCTCAGTGCCTGGAATTCAGTAATTCTAAAGCCACACGAGGACAGAACCCTCCCTGTTCCCTTGGCCCTCCCCTCATACTCTGGACCCAGACAGCCCGGCGGACACGATGGGGTGACGCACCCGGGCTCCTGTTCTCTGCTGCCCGAGGGAGGGGAGCTTCATCTCCCACCTCTGCTGGCACCAGGCCCTAGGCTCACGTGCCAGGGCTTCTGGAGCCAGAGTCTTGGCTTTTGGTTTCTTTTGGGGACACCTGAGAAACCAAATATCCAGGTGACCCTAACCTCCCAAAGTGGCTCTGTGAGTGTCTGCCTCACCCCTCACAGGTCTTGGTTGTAGGAAGTGTTTAATCCCAGGCGACCTCCTCAGCGGGGCCCATGTAGGAGATGCAGGGTCAATGTGGCCTCCACCTGAGCCAGATATTCCAGGGAAAGGAGGAGAGGGGGTGATCCTGCTGTCCTTGCCAGTGAGGCTTACTGAGAGTTGGGGAAATGCTGACTTCCAAGCTGCTGGTACAGTGGTTCGAATTGCTTGTGTTTGTCACAGAGAAACAGCGTGCAGCAAGCTCAAGGCTCTGAGCTAACGGGAGAGGCAGAGCCCAGAGAAGTGAAAGCCACAGGAAATGCAACTCCCTGCACCTCTTCCCCGCCCACTACACACACCCCCTCACACCGTGCTGGTGCCTCCTGTGTCTGCTGCTCCCAACCCCCGCAGAGCTCCACATCCCCTCCTCCCTCTGACGCCTTGCAGTGGGTGGTGGTTGAAGTGTCTGGGGCCCCCAACCAACTCGAGGCCCATAGGGAGCTGCATGCCCCTCTCCCAGGGGTGACCTCACTCTCTCCTCTCCACCCCTCGCAGCAGCTCTACCAGATCCAGCAAGTCACCATGCCTGCCGGCCAGGACCTCGCCCAGCCCATGTTCATCCAGTCAGCCAACCAGCCCTCCGACGGGCAGGCCCCCCAGGTGACCGGAGACTGAGGGCATGAGCTGGCAAGGCCAAGGACACCCAACACAATTTTTGCCATACAGCCCCAGGCAGGGGGCACAGCGTCCCCTCCCAGAGGACCCGCCGACCTCAGCACCTCCTGCAGGCTAGGACGCTGGTGCCCTGCGCCCCACGCCTGGGGGCCGAGATTCTCCAACAGAAAGATGCAATATTTTTTATTTCCTCCTTTTCCATTTTTTTCCCCAAGGAATTGATATTTCAATATGTTGTGTGTCCAATGCTATGAAATTAAAATATTAAATAACATATTTATGGCATTTCTTGAAGAGTGTGGTTGAAGAAATATTTCTTTTGTTTTCCTTTTTTTTTTTGGTTCTCACCGTCACTTCTTGTTAGGAGCAAGTCTCCTAACAGGTGTATGTTATCTCCTGACTCTTGGAGCAGCTGCTGCCCCAGGATCTTCCACCGTGTTCTGTCTTCAGATGAAATTAGGTGAACGTGTAGCTTCCTCTTCATTGGTGTCCACTCTCCTCATCTGGCTCTTGCCCCAGAGCTCTGCGTATTTGCATCTGGAGGCCGTGGAAACGTTCCTTGCGTTTAGGAGATGAGCTCGTTTGTCACGGAGAGTGGGTGGTTTCACTCCCAGATGTCCTCTCCCAGGGACCCGAGGAGACTAGAGCTCTGGGTGTTTACCACCACCACCCTGTTTTTTATTTTTTTAAATGCGTTAAAAATTGTGCTAGTCTCCTTTGCTGCATGGACTTCAAACTGCATAACATGCAATAAACCTCATTTTAGATAATTTAGAGTCTTGAGTTTCTGTATCTGGAAGCATTTGTGGGGCTGCTTTGCTTGGGAAAGGCTTGGAAAGGTTGGTTTGCCCGCAGGTTGGGGGGGGTGTGAAGGAGGGGGACCTGCCGTGGAAAAAAGCTAAGGAAAACTTACTCTACTTATCTGATTGAAACTGAGGTCTTCAGCTGATTTTAAAAATGAAATTCAGTAGGATCTGTTTGCGTCTCAGAGGTCCATACCTGCCTCACTTTCTGGGCTACCACCATGGGCAAGACTCCATTGTGTCCTGTGTGGCTGAGGGTTGAGAGAGCATGTCTTTGAGAAAACCGTCTCTCTCCTTCAACCAAGGACCCGGGTAAAGCCCTCCTCCCCAGCCTTTGCACAACTCTGAGTTGCCAACTGTGGCCACACCCTATAGCATCCACCAAGGAGGGCAGCCCAAGCCCTTGCCCAGCAGCAGGTCACGAGAGGTCTGCAGCCAGGGCCTGTATTCTAATTGCAGCAAGAATAGAAAGCATTCTGCTTCATTGACCACAGAGGCCAATAGTGAGCCGTCTCCCTTACCCTCACCACGCCACCCTCAGCTAGAATGAGGCCCGTTGTGCGGGAAGGTTGGAGAACTGGATGCTGGGAGAAGTGGGTATTAGTTTCTTCTTCGACAGTAATGCACCATAAAACCTTGGGCGGCTCCCTGCTTTGGGGGGCTATCTGAAGGTGTGAGGTGGGGATGGGGAGGAGTCTTCCATGTTAGATGATTTCAGGTCTGACCTGGTGCCTTTATAAATGCCCTGCTGGCAGCCATGGCAAGTACCGGGACATCTGTGTCATCATTTATTTCATTCTCAGTCACTTACGGAAGAGGACTTCGCCATTGAAAACATACACAATGAAATAAAACATGGCAGGGTAGAGTTCTGAAGAACATGATCGAGTAGGAGATCAGAATCATAGAAAACAAGGAATATTCTGGCTGTAAAGAGCTGCTACGTAGTTGTTAGAACTGGGTTTCACATCTCATCCTGGGCTTTGGGGCCACCAAAGCAAAAGACCCAGAACCAGGTAAGATTCACACCATGAAAAGAAGAAAATATTCTTTTGCAAAAGCAAAGTTTTTTTTTTTCTAGTTTCAAGGTTTGGGATACAGGGTGCCTCTCCGGGGTCGTCAGGGTGGTGGGGCAGATGCTGTCACCATGGGGAGTCTTCCCCTGGTAAGAGTTGGGCAGCCCCATGGGCGTCGGATTCCCAGGTTCAGTGCCCCCACCCCCATCCTGGGCCTTTCTCTCAAGGGGGTTCCCTGGCTTTTCCCACTGCTGCAGCCAAACATGCTGCGTGCGTAGCCCCGTGAGCGAATGCAAGAGGAGAGTAAAGTCAAGTGCACGGCAGAGGCCCTGACCTCAGAGGAGAGACAAGCTCAGCTGTTCATTTCGTGGCACACACACCCTATCGAGGCCGCTGGAATGTCCCACCCTGCTGCTCTGTGACTCATTCCTGAACACCCAGGTGTAATTGGAAACGCGTGCCAGTCAATGGGTCCCCACTTTCCGGTAGACTGCCGTAGACGAGTTCTTTCTTGGAGATGTTCGATCGGTTGTGATTGGCAAGCAGCTTCCTTGCTGAGCACGTTCCCTTTAAATTTCCCCGCCAGCAGGGCCCATCTGGGTGTAAACAAACACTTCAGTGCAGCCCAAGACAGCCCCTATCTAATGCCCAACATGATCCCCTTACATCCGGAGCACTCTTGAAACATTTTTCCTAGCACTTGCAGCGCTTGTCCTCTGTGTGATCTCCACCGTGACCCTGCAGGGGAGACAGGAAGAGGAATGGTGATCCCTGTGTGGCAGATGGAGACAGACATGGAGGCCCATAGAAGTGCAGTGACTTTCCCAAGGTCACTGCCTGAAAAGAGGTGGAGTTGAAACCAAAACATTGGATCCCCTGTGTATACATAGCTGCTTTTTCTGGCTGAAGATGTGTGTGTGTGTGTGTGTGTGTGTGTGTGTGTGTGTAAGAGAACGAGGCTTTACTGAATGTGAACTGACTCCTTTTGCTCTGCCTTCCCAAATCTGCTGGCCCAGCCTTGAGTATATGTGGAATAAAGGAAGCAGTTGGACCTGGTCGGTGGACAGCTGGTGGTTGGGGTAACTTTCCTGGAGGCTGACGTAGGAGCCTGGAGGCCCCTGGAGGCCTCTGGGATTATCAACAGACCACCTGGCTGGCTTCCTTGCTGCTCAGTTTTCCTGAGGCCACAAGGGGGCAGCAGGGAGCACTCTCCCAAGTCTGGGAGATGCCATGTCTCACCCTCACCCAACTTGAGACAATTCTAGGGACTATGGCGGCATGACTAGATAGATCCTGGGCCCCTTCCTGATAAAACCCTTAACTTCTGAAGGGAGGGGCCTCCTTAGGGTAGCAGTGAGGGCTGGAAACACTACCCTTTCTAGAATATTACATCCGGGTAGGTGGTTAGATTTTAACAAGGACTTTCTGATGACCTAAGTTCATCCAAGTCCCTGTGTCCCCAGCTTTGTGTCTTTCCACCCTCCTCCCCACACTCTCTGCTCCTGCCACACTCAATTACTTGCTGGCCCCTGAACTGAACTCCCATGTTTTCAAAATGTACTGGCCCCAGTGTCTGAAATGTCCTTTTCCAGTTATTGATCTCCTATACATCCATCAAGGCCCAGTTTAATGGCCCTTGCTGAGAAACCTCCAATTCCTGGAGCAGAGTTAGCAAAGACCTCTTCGACGTTCCCATAGCAACTTCTACAGTCTCTATTATTAGTGCTCAAATACACAGTCATTCAGCAAATATTTCTTTGGCACTTTCTGTGTGTCAGACATTGTGAAGACAGATGAAAGCGAGCCAGCGAGGCTTATGCTCTCACGGGGCTCCTGTTGGGTTGGGGCAGAGGTGGGAGAGGGGATGAGAGAGAGAGACGATATGCACGAGACAAGTTAGGCCCCAAAGAGACCCCCTGTCACTGTTAGAATTTTCTGGTTTTGGCTGTCTTCTCCTCCACTTCAAGGTCATCTCTGCACCTCCTGAGCCCAGCACAGGGCCTGCCACCAAAAGAACAATAGTAATTGATGAGCAAGTAAACGAACGTGAACCCTTCCCCGTAGCCAGCTTTCAACACTGCTCACATGCCCACCGCTGTTACTGTTGCTTTTTTCTTGTTAACTTTTTCTTGAGCACCGATCATACACTGGAGGGCTGTGCCGTGCAGGTTATCCCTTTAAGAAATTTCTGTGAGGGAAAATAGAGCTTGGCACCTGAATGGATGATCTCATTTCATCTTCACATCCTTATTATAAGTAGGTATTCTCCCCATTTTGTGAGTGAGAAACTGAGGTTCAAAGAGGTTAAGGAATTAACCCAGGGCACCAGCTGATTAAGTAGAGCCGGATGCTTAAAGAAGCCTCCTGTCCCCGCCTGCTCAGCTCCACTGCTCTTGTCCTTACCGTTCATGATTCTTTTTCCTACAGAGAATGAGAGCTCTCCACCCCCAACTCCTGGGTAGGGACCTAGCCTTTGTCCCACCTCTCCAGCTATCCACAGACCTCTGTAAGCTAGCCTCTGACCTCCCGGGAGGAGAGGACTCGGGCGGAAAGGTCAAGTGTCTGCTCCCACAAGGTCAAGTGTCTGAACTCCTCTGGGTCCCCCTGAGCTGGGCTGGCAGCCTTACCCCCTAGTTTGTATGCTAGGCCACTACCACAGCCCAGGAGAAAGGACGGGAGAGCAGCAAGTCTGGCACTCCAGGGGAGAACCTGAGCTGAGCTACAGCTGGGCCAGGCTGGGCTGCGCTCCTCTGGCTGGCTGGTGCTGAGGAGAGGTAGGTCTGAAACAGGACCCAGCCTCCCCAGCCTGCAGCCCTGGCCCTCCACTAAGTCCCGCCACCTCTCCCAGGCCCCGCCCCTCCCCCAGGCCCCTGCACCTCTCTCTTCCAGTGAAGAACTGTGAATCAGACGCTTTCTAAGATCTCATTTGTGTCAACGTGTCTTTATTTTGCTTTGTATTGAAATGATGGTTTGGCAATGTATGGAATTCTAAGTCCACAGTTATTTGCCCTCAGCATTCTGAAGATACTATTTCATTGTCTTTTGGCAAAATCTGTTGTTGCTGATGAGAAGCTCACTGTCAATTCAATTATTGGACCTTTGTAGATAAGCGATCTTTTCTCTCTGGTGGCTTTTAGAATTTCCTTTTTATTCTTGATATTCTATACTTGGGCTGCAAGGTGTCTAGATGTATTTTTGTTTTGTTTTTAAAGATGTCTTACTAGGCAGTCTGTGGGCCTTCACAATCAAAAAGTTCACGTCTTGTTTCTGGAAAGAGATGAGTTACTCTTTCCAGTATCTTTCCCTGGAACTAACACCCTACGGCGTCCCCAGAAGCGAGGCCTGCTCGAGTGTGGTGGGTAGGGTAATAATGTGGGTGTGAAATTTATCGTTTTAATTTGAACATTTCACCTAAAATGTCACAGGGTGTGCTTGAGTGTGATATTGTTATGTTATAGAATTGCACACTTACGATTTTGTAATTAAAAAGGCATTAGTTGTGTCAGACCCTGTATATTCTAGATTTTTTTCATTCAGTCTTTTATGTCTCTTTCATATATTTAATCTCTTTATTATTCTGTGATTCATGCTGAGGATTTTCTCACGCTTAGCTTCTAATTCACTAATTCTCTTCTCTGCACTATTTACTAACCCATCTGATTTTTTTTTAATGTGACTTTGTTTTCTTTTCTAAAATTCCTAGTTTTTGTCTTATCTACCATATGCCCATGTTTGATATCTTTCTATTCTGGTGTTATAAATGCTATTCCCTTATCTCCTAGAAGATTTTAACAATATTAAACTTCCTTTTAGATTGTCTCTTTGTCTCTAGGTCTCTAAGTATGAATTCTCCCATGAGAAAGATGTCTCTCAAAATATTGTATTTCTTCTTATATGTTGCGAAATTTCTTCTCCAGATAGTTATTTTCAGCACATCTTTCTGACTGTGCC